CTTCGGTTTCCCCTTCCCAACATCATTACCGACTACCTCCGGGACTGGGGAATTGGCATCAGCCAGATCACGCCCAATAGTTGGAAGAAAATCATTGGGCTTTTGGTCCTCTGTATTCAAAACAAGTTGCCGTTCCCGTCGATAAACGAATTTCGGAGCATTTTCTTCTTTAAGCGAAGTCGGGAGCGGGACGGCGTGCCGCCTTCTGGCTGTTTCTTTTGCTCTGCCAAGGCGCTAGGAGACCTGAAGGTCGGTCAACTGATCACCGGGATTCCCGATACGCTACACGGTTTCCAAGAGGAATGGTTCTGGGTTGGCGGTGATTGGGAGTCGGCCGACTTTTTAGCCGAGCCCAAAATTGATGGGATGACTGTCCCGAGCCGAGTTGTCGACGTTTATAGTAAGTTTTTCCTTTCATTCTATACTTCACCTCCTAACCACGGGCTTTCTTTTTCGCTAACAGGTCGGAACTTTTGATATTTGTAGCCCGGAGGAAGAAGGAACCCAACCTCTCTGCCGAGTTCGCTGAGAGGCTTCAGGATCTTGCGAAAGTTCCGCATTCCGATCGTAGTTGGCGTAAGTTGTTGAAGGAGGTTGAATTAGCGAAGGCCGAACTTTCTTCGCCCCGCCCGTTTAAGACGTTTGTTCCTGGTGAGCCGGTTTGTTCTTCCATTATCTTTGACCTTGCGTTTTGATGTGTTCCGTCCTTCGTACCTGATTTTTCGGTCTGAACTTTTGCAGTTTACTATCCGATCCTCGGTTTTCACGGCTTCAAGTCGGTTGAGGACGCCGACCATTCCCGACGCAAACTTTCCAGTTCCGAGGTCCAACTTCAATTTGCCAAGGATATTGAGATGGGTCGCTTGAAGTTCTTACAGAGTGTGAAGAATGCCTCCACCAACCGCGGTGCTTCAACCACGGGTCCTGTTACCAGGTCGATGCTTCCAACGGGTGAACCGAAGTCGGTCCAGGCCCCTGTTGCTGACCCACCCGCCGAGCAGGTCCAAGGGACCGAGCTGGTTGTGAGGTCCCCGACCCGCCCCGA